CTAAGGCTTATTATGATGTGTCAATAATAGGCTCTTAAGTTCTGAGAGACAGCGAGATTCAAAGCCCTAAATTTTCTTAATAAGATGTGGTCACAGGCTCCCAGTGAGTCCCGGATATTTTGAGCTGAAATGTACTAATAATGACCAATCCCAAATGGGCTTCATTTTCTTTTTTAAAGATCATTTCTGATCTAAATTATTTTCATCTGCCTTTCTCTACTCTGGTCACCTACAACTTTCACTCCCCAATCAGTATTCACCGGCACCTGCGAAGGACCAGACAGCGGTCAGGCAAGGACCAGGTTGTGTTCTAGCTTCCTGCAGATTCCAAGTTACAAGGGCCAGTGGTGAGAAGTGAGCCTACTGAGAACCCAGAGGAAAGCCGTGTATCCTACCAAGGAGATGTCACAGAGAAATTGTCTGAGGTGTGAGTTCACAGGAATCAGTGGGTGAACAGAAGAAGTTGGCACATTCCTTGGGCAAAGATTCAGAGCCCACAGTCTCTTACAGAGGTGAATGGGCACCAGGTAAACATGGAGGAAGCTGCTTCCCATGTCCTAGGGGAAGCAGAGGTAGGCCCCTGTGTATCTTTAGCTCCATTAGGAAGGAGTCAGAGGCACCTCTCTGGAGATCAGTACCTGTCAGTCTACTGGTAATGTCCTCACCACAGAACCTTCCTCCTCCTGTGAGGGCTGGAGAAGGAACCCCCCCACCTCTTCATTTCTGGATGCATCAGAGGTCATACCCCAGGGTCCTACGCATATATATTGTCAAAAAAGCAAAACAAACAAACAAACACCCATGGACTGGATGGGACGTAACTTAGATGGGAGAGTGCTTGGCTAGCATGAACAAAGCCCTGGGTTTAATCCCCAGCCTATGTTTATAATCCCCGTACTTAAGAGACACAGATGGGAGCAACTGGAGTTCACGTTCACCCTTGGGTACATAGTCAACTCCAGGCCAGCCAGGGATACCTGAGACTCTGTTTCAAACAAACAAACAAACAAACAAATAAAGCCACAGAATCTTGTATCATGGTCTCTTTTGCATGATGACAGTGGACTAGAGCCAAGGACTGGAGGCCCTGTTATAACAAGGCTGGGGCTCACTCTCCAGGCTCGCTCCAGTCTCTACCCAGCTGTCCTCACTCATTTACTGCCTGATGTCCATCAGAGTTTAAACGCCCTCTCCCCGAGTGCTGGTAAATAAAGCAGCACTTATTCAACCCACCCGGCTGTTACAGCCTCTTATCTGATGTACTCCAGACAGCCTGTCCGGCTTAGTGGACAAGGGTTGAGCTAAGGCCCGCCCTTGTTTGTGGGAATGAGGGTGGTAAGTGGTAGGGCCGGGTTTCTGCTGGGAAAAAAAATAACTTGGAACTTTTGATAGCCAGGCTATCAAAGCAGGGGAAAGGTCACGCATCCAGGGCACAGTCCTGCGGGAGATCAGTATCCCAAGGCTTGGCAGCCTGTTAGACTGAACAGAGATGGTTTCTTTGCCAACTCTGCAAAGACATAGTGAGGAAACAAAGCCAGAGAGCTCAGGCTTGCCCGACTCACCTTCTCCATTTATTTCCTTTCCGGGAAGGGAGAGCATGTGGGTGTGAGTCCACAGACAGGGGAAGCTGCTATTGGAGAACCCCTTCCCCACCCACTCTGTGTGTGAATTAGCACGTAGCTGGTTTGATATTAATCCACAAGCAGGCCCATAGAGTCAGCCAACCTGGTCAGGGGCCCAGTGAGTAGCAAGAGCACCGTGCTTTTTCCAGGAAAATGGCAGAGGTCATCCAATCAGTGTGCCTACTTTCGAGTTACCCTTGCCAGGGTTCTAGAAGTAAGTGGACTTTCAAACAAAGGCTGAAGGAGAGGCCGCAGGATTGTATTAACTGCAATCACACCTGAAGATACTAGCAGATTCAATTACTTTATTTGACACTGACCTCAAGATCAATTCAGGGCCCTTGAGAGATGAGGTTAACTTCCATTAGCAATGGGAATTCTTATTCACTGAGTAGTAGAACTGGTCTAAGCAACAGGTAGGGTGAATGTCATCTTTGTGACTTATTGAAATGGGCTGCATTCGAAATCCCACTCCAAACCTGGGGAGACTAAGCTATGCTGGCCACTTGCCCAGTCAGTGGCCAGGGAGTAGACCTGAAATAGACTCCCCTGGCTCTTATGTCTCCATTCTCAACTTCCATGCATGTCCCCCTCATTGTCTTTGGGGATGGGAACCTTAGAAAGCAGCAGTGTGATGTAAGCTAGAGATGGACCCCTGACTCCATTCCCACCTTAGTGAACTTTCGGTTTACCTAGTTGAAAAGAATGATGGTAATGGTTCTCATTTGGCCTCCAGTGTCTGCCAAGGTGGCAGGCAAGGATGGTTTAGACTAAGGAAAAGAACAGGGACATTTAATCTAATATATATATATATATATTATATAATCTAATATATATATATTATATAATCTAATATATATATATATATATATAATCTCTCCTTCTCCCCCATCTCTCTCCCCTCCTCCCTCTCCTCTCCCCTCTCCATCTTTCTCTTTCTGAGACAGAATCTTACTCTGTAGTCCAGTCTAGCCTCATGGTTATCCTTCCGCCTCAGCCTTCCAAGAGCTAGGATTATAACATAATTCACCATGCTCAGCTCACTCTGCTAGTTTCTAAGACAAGAAAAACTGAATAACTTTTCCAAACTTACCAAGTTACTTGCAGAAAAGAATTACAAACCATATATTTCCCCTCTCAACCACAAACCCTATTGCAAAAATGTCATGAGGTCAGGAATGCTGGTGCGGACCTGGGAACCAGGGCTCTTGAGTCCTTGGTATCCCTTCTTACCAAAAGCTACAGGAACCAGTGCCAGACCCACAGAAGTGGTTCTTCCTCCTGGGGCTTGCTTTTGGCAGCACCAAGGCCTCCTCCACCCAAACCTTATCAGAGGCCAGGATGGACGCTTAATCTACAGCTGCCAGCACCTTGCCCAGACTCTCTTGGGAGGGACATTATCATCCCCAAACAGCTGACCACGCACAGGACTCTAGGCTGCCTTGGTTTCCCGAGTTGCAGGGAAGCTGAAAACCTAGTTTTAGATCCCAGGAAAAGCAACTACCTGTTACTCCATTCAGAGCCCCGAGACACCCAGCAGCTAGTGTGTGTTCTTGTTCCTACTGATACTGGTCAGATCCAAAAGAAGTACCACCTTCCTGGATCACAGAGCCCTCTTATATAAATGGACGGGCCATTATTAGCCTACCACGAACCAAAAGCAGCCCCAAGATCAATCTGCCATCCTGTGGTTTCCCTGACAAAGATGGGGTTGACCTGTCCTTTTGGACTCCAGACAACCTTCCCTAAATGTCATTAAGTCTTCCACTAAATGAGGAAATGTTCCTTAGGATTGGGGCCTTTTAGGAAACAAGAAGCTAGACGCAGACTTTGAATTGAATAGTGCAAAAGACTAGAACGCCACAGATGAGCAGACATTCCTGGATCCTAACCCTGTCCTTGCATCCGAACAGAGAGGAACAAACGGAAGGACCTCCCTGTGGCACTCCTGACATTAGCGGGTTCCAATATTCCATTCATGACACAGACACACTGACTGTCCCTGCCCAGGCCCTGACTCTCTTTCTCTCCTCACATGTAGGATAGAAGCACCCAGTTTCGCTGCCTATCTCTGACCAAGAACACTCAGGACAAGCTGCATGACTGTGTACAAAATTGTGGAGTAGGAAATGAGATGAGCATGCTTAAAAATTTAGAACAGCTCACTTTGGGCCAAGAAAAACACCCAATGTGGGTCAAAAATGTGCTTGTAGTCTTAGTGGGGAGCTGAGTCTTTATCAGAATTCTAGGAAAGACCCCCTCAAACCAAGCATGACGACTTACTATTCTTGCATAGATCCTCTCCATGAGGTCAAAAGTAGTTTGCAAGAGTAACACGCCATGGGTTCTCTCACTGTGGGCTCTCAGAATAACTGCTTCCCAGCTAACTTATACCAGTGGTGTTAAGCTGTGTGTGGTTCCCAGTACACAGATCCTGGGATCCAACTGTTCTTGTCTAACAAGGCAAGAATGGTAGTTCATAAATAACAGTCAAGGTGACAAGGGCATTACTAGGAATGGCAGACAGTCTTGCCTTAACCTGTGACAAGGGTTGTCCTCTGCTCACCACTGGAGTTCTGTGAGAAACAGTGTGTTTTATTTTTTAATAGTCATTCATGATATAGTCAGATCACCAGGCATCTGCAAGGGGATTGGTTCCAAGACCACTGCAGATACTCAAGACTCCTCTATAAAATAACTTAGCAGTTTTATCTGAGCATCCTCCCACATAGTTTAAATTAGAAAATTGTTTACAACGCCTAATACATTGGAAATAGTTACACTATACTGTTTCTGGGATGGCAAAGGAAATTCTGTACCTGTCAGGTAAAGATGCTGCCGCTGTGGGCCTAAGGCCACAGCATATGACTGGATGTGCTCAAATGGGGACCCTGCAGGCGACCTGTGGGGTGCCAGGAGGAACATCAGTGTGCTCACGTATGACTGCAGTCACATCACATGGACTGGTGTGTTTAGTGTGAGACAAATCAACATTTTGTTTTGGGGAACTTCCTGAATTGTTTTCCTGTATAATTTCCAGCCACGGTTGGCTGCTTCCACAGCCGTGGACACAGAAGGCCGGCTCCACAGACGAGCTGAATGACCACGGACAGAAGTATGGACGAGGCTGTCGAATGTTCAGACAGCATATTTTGAAGACTCGTGAGAATAGTCAGAAAAGTAGGGAGCTCCCTCCTGGAGTAGGGGGAGTGCACAGGAAGGCCATCACCACACACCTAGGTCATCTCCTGTAACATCTGCACGCTACAGATGCACCCAGGGCAACTGATGAATACCACAAAACACAAAGAGAGGGTTTGGATTTGAGAGGGAAATGCCCGTCGGCAGTATGGAAAGTTACCTTCTCTACACCACACGTAATCTGCTACATTTTATTAAAAACAAAAGTGTACATATGTCCATAAAGCTGTACAGTCTTCCATATAAAAACACTATCATACAATTAAGTAACCTTTGTCTTCTCTGTCAGAATAGCTTACAAACCTGCCACTATTACTTATTTTTACTTAATAAGAGAGACAGGCCTGCTCAACAGTCCAGCTCTGGGGTTTTTGTCATTTTTAAAGTGAACATCGACAAGAAAGAACAGATCTCAGCATGAGACCAGGTGGCTGCTTCTAAGAAGGCAGGGACCTGTTTGTGGACAAGACACGAGAACCATCTGCAGGAATTCACAGCTTTGTCACAACCCACAGCTTTCGGGTCTGTGGGCCCAGAGTTAACTTTAAAGCAAGAGATGAAGCCGCCTGGGAAGGCTGTGCAAAGCTGGGAGTGCCAGAGCAGGCTGGGCAGAGTGTTTGGTAAATAGCACCTTTGAGTAGAAACTGAGGAGTTAAGAAACCCAGGAAACGGGATGCCATGGCAATGGAGAGAAATGGGGCGGGGGGGGGGGCTCATTAAGGAGAAGGTGACCAGTGGGCTCTAACTCTGTCCTTCAGTTTGAGAGACTGGAGGCCTCCTGAGGCCCCTCAGCACTGTCACCGAACCTGAAGGAAAGCCATTTCTTCCCAGTGTTTTCCAAAATTTCCCCCGACCCAGAACAGTCAATATTGCACACATCTACAGACAAATTTGGATTTTACTGAGAGAGACAACCTCCCCCACAGGTGCTCTGAGCACCAAGGAGATAAAGCAGTGCCCAAACTGTGGCTTAGTGGCAGCCCTCCAAGAATACCAGGTAGTCCTGTAGGGCACAGGCACTCTCCGCAGCCCAGGAAGATGGCTCTCAGCAAGGCCCACCACCAGCGAGAACCCCTAGGAGAAGGGGAAAGGCAGGCCCCTAACACCCACCAGGGCACCAGGAGGGGCTGGGAGGCCCAGTCTCAGAGTTTCCTGGGACTATTGCACAGTGATTGCGAACTCCTGCCCTAGGAAATAGTGCCCTCCAGGACCCAACCACAAGAAAGAGGGGAAAGGAGGACGCAAGCGAGTCTTGAAGGAAAGGCCGTGAGAAAGGACCTGCAGCTCCCTGGAGCTTTGAACCACCTCTCAAAGGAATAATGGTAGCAGCATTCAGACTTTCACGTGGTTCCCAAAAGGAAGGTTTAGGAAAAAATCAGGGGGGAGGGAGCACTCTTTGGGTCCCAAAATTCCATTGCAAATCACCCCTAAATTATTCGCCATGCATGCATACGAAGCAGCGCAGTGCAGAGCGAAGGTTTTGTGCCCCCCTCTGTCTATACCCAAAGTCTTTGCGCACCTGCCTGGCATCCCACCCTCCAAAAATGGTCACAGATTCCTGGCTGGGAAACAACCTTTCCAGGCCCCTGAGGACAGAATCAGAAACAAGACAAGACTTCAAGAAAACCTGCTTAGAACAGAAGGAACAAGGAGAGGTCTTTCACTCTACCCAGGGTCTCAGCAGAAAAACAAAAGAAGATTAGGCAATGTAGTATTATTTAAGACCAGGCTTGAATGCCCCTGAGTAAGAGAGGAACCAGGTAGACAGGCATCCCAGCTGGGACGGTAACCCAGGGCAGAGCCTGACCCCTCTCATTCACAGTTGCTAACCTTGCTTGCTCCCTTTTACCACCTCCTGGGGGATCAGCCAAGAATCCCCTTTTACCTTGGCTATGCCAATCCCCAAACCACTCCCCTAGGCAAACACTGGCTCACAGATTCAATAACAGTTCTTTCCAAAGGCACCTGGGGAGGCCACTTCCAAGCAGCTCCCTTTAAGGATTTTTTTCTTTTAAAAAAAATCTTTTGGTTTTTTTTTTCTCCGCTTTTCTTAAAAAAAAAAATAACGTGTATAAATAGCTCTTCATTTAAAAATACAGTTCCCCAGGTTGAGGTATACGGTGGCCTGTTGTCACGGCAGCACTGAGTACAGTAGAGTGCCCGGGTAGGGTGGCTCCTCCTTAGCTCGACACAGCCATCACATAGTTCTTCGAGGGGCTGCTCCGGCCCAGCATCATTTGGTTCTTGCAAGTGAGGAGCCCATAGGAGGCAGCCACCGGGGCCTCCTCATACAGGACACAGATGGAACCATCCTCCCCGATGCGGTAGGACACTTCATAGGGATCAACCCACAGGGTCAGCTCACTGGGCAGCAGCCGGTGTAGCTGGGGCTGGCTGAGTCCAATCTGGCTGGCCACCTTGCTAATGATGGGGTCCATCTTGTGGTTGATGCGGATGCAGCGGTAGCCAGAGCCTTTGGATGGTTTCTCTGGAAACCAGTGGTGTTTGTAATGATCTGTAGAGGAAGAATGAGAGGAAGATGCCTGGTTAGAAAGCATTGTCTCTGATCTTTACCACAAGCAGAGGATGAGGGTAGAGGGCCCAGAGAAGGGGAAGGGCTCAGCGACAGTATTTCGGAGCCTCTCCTTAAACTCCCCCTGTCACTTAGAAAGACCCCTGGGCCCTTTCCAAGTGTGTGCACATCGAAAGGCAGCCAGAGCTTTCAGATAGGTGCTCTCCTGGTGGTCAGGGATATTTTTGGCACAATCCAGCTTAAGGAAGGAAGGGCTAGTATGAACAGGCAGGGCCTCTTAAGACCTAGATACTGAAATTTCAAAGTCCAGTAAGCGGCCAACATTTTTGGGTGTCCAGCAAGCCACCAGGTCTTCCATCCCTCCCCCAGCAGAAGAGTTATGAGACCTTTCACAAAGGTAAGGGAAGAAAAACGGTTTTGTTTTGATGAAACAGCTGTTGGTTCTCAGATCTGTGCCAACATGTTGAGAGACGGCTATCGCTGCCCAAGGCAACCAACCAGCTGTAACAGCTGGGGACAGAGGCGAAAGGGCTGCTTATCACTCCTCCACCGCCTTGCCTCACACCCTGCCTTCATAACACCCCCCCCCACACACACACACACCCAGCAGGCTAGGCTACTGGGCTCTTTTCTGTACTACAATAGGTGGCAGATGGCGAAGAGGGACCAAAAGAAAAAAATACAAAGGGGGCCCAGATTACAACTTCCAACGGGTAAACAAGCGGCAGAACGGTCCCGCACAATAGTAGGCACAGGGCTACAACAACAGTGACTCGGAATCGAGTTGTTGAAAGTTCAGTTGCGCATAAAGTCGTACAGCTTGGCCGGATTCGTGACCCTCGAGGGTCTGGGGGTCTCCAAGATCCAGAGAAAGAGGTGAGTTCGGACTCTGAGCGCAGACACTGACTGGCTTTTCCCATGGTGTTCTTAAGGCCTCGGAATGTACTCAAGGAAGAGGGTCAGTACCCCGGGAGCGAGGCGGGGACTGGAGGGCGGGGAGGCGGAGACCTAAACCAAGGGACGGAGGGACCACAGGCGTCCTCGGAGATTAAGGTTTCTGAGGCCCGGAGCTGCTCGCGTAGGGGGTCTCCGTTCCAGAAACAGCGGGGAAAGACATCCCAGGCAAGGAGGTGGCTTTGGGACCCCGACGAGTGCTCACCGGTCAATGCATCCTGGAGCGCCCTGCTGAACACCTTGAGTCTCTGCTCGCTCACGCAGCCCCGCGTCCTCAGGAGACTGGAGAGGAAGCCGACGGCGGCGGCGATCTCGGGGAGCATATCGGTCCTCTTCCCGTGGCTCATGTCGGGCGGCTGAGGAAGTAGCTGTATTATTAAGACAAGGGTGGTCCGGCTGCCGCTCGGGCTCTGCCCGGACTTTCCCCGGGCTGCGCCTTTCATACCGCTCGCGGAGGCGGGGAGCCGCAGGAGGCGCCCATTGGCCGAGGCTGGCTGATGGGGGCGCGTTCTCCCGCTGCCCCGCCTCCCTCTCCTCCGCCCTCGCTTGCCCCCGCCCTCCCGCTGGCCTGCCCGCCCGCGCCTCCCGGGCGCTGAGGTCATCGCTCACTGACGTCAGTATTGGGAACCAGCGCAGGACTCCGGAGCGGTGGGAGGCGGGCGGGAGAGGACCTAGGACTGGGAAAAGGAAGCGCACTACATCGGGCATGCCCGGACGTCGCCTCTGCATAGTGCCAAGGCAGCGGTTGCCTGCCACCTCCTCCAGGGTGCCCTCGCCGATGCTACTTCTCCCACGCTTCCAGATACAGACACCCTGGCGCCTGGTCATCTCGGCCACTCTTCTCCCAACTGGTCGAAACCGTCTCCTCATGTTTTCGGCAATGGGGATTTGTATTCTATTTGCTTCCATAATAATTTCACCTCTCCCCAAGAATTCTTCTCTTCCTCTTCAGCAATTGCCTAAAAGCAATCAACTCTCACTGTTCAATGTCGTGGTGGGAAGAATGTTGAGGAGAGACTTTTCTATCCCAAGTTCTCACTTTCCTTTAAATGCCTTTTTCAAGAGAGAGAGAGAGAGAGAGAGAGAGAGAGAGAGAGAGAGAGAGAGAGAGAGAGAGAGAGAGAG